CTGTTACACTTCATTCAGGTGTAATGGGTCCAGTAGAGAGAGTCAAGAGTCAAGACTCAAGACTCAAGACTCAACCGTCCCAGAGTCCAGATGCAAAGTCAAGACAAGAGAGAAAGCGTGTTTCCGTTAGTCATTTCATCCTTACTGCCATACCGACCGGTTCGTCCAGTTCGTCCAGTTCGTCCAGTTCCAAAAGCTCAAGCTTAATCCCCGCAATCAACCGTAATCTTAAAATTGAACGTGAAGGGCAAGGATATGGCGAGGATCCAATAGGTGGCTAGTAAGGATTATTATGAGACAAATCTCGTTTTGTCGGCGCTTCGGAAAACAAGCAAAATTAAGTGGATCTCTCTGTAAAAAGTGGGTCGCTGGTACCTGAATTAACCCGAATTGGCGGTTAATTCTTGGTTAATTCATGGTTAAAAAGTTCCAATAGAATTTCAGCCTTAGAAGTTAATAAAATGGTTCCTGACTAGGTAGGTAGAGAGTAGAGAGGACCTGACTAGAGTACCGGTACGTGGAGTGAAGAAAGAAAATTCAATGAAAATGCTTTTCATGGTGCATATTGACGTGATTGCCCAGGTGATCATTAATCCGACTCACGACTCAACGAACATCTACCGTACCTACCGTACCTAGTACCTACCTAGTCTAGTCTAATCTAGATACGATATGTCCTGTACTCGGCTCAACGGCGACAAGACGACAACACAACAATACATTGCATAGGTACCTAGATTCGATAAAAGGACCGTAAAAGAACACGTAAAGATGATTCATTGGAGTAATTCTCTTTTTCTTTCTTCACTCCTAATGAATTTTAGGAAAGGATCCGATTCACAGTTCATGTTCTCCATATTCCGCACATCAGGAAGAATTATCCATCGAAGGAAAAAGAAAATCTCATGACTCTTGGTTACTAGGTAGGTAGTAGGTCGGACTCGTAGGTACCCTTTCTATCATCTTCCTGCGAGCCTGCGTACTCCTGCGAACAATTGTTAGATCTACCTACTACCCAGTCGTGCTACTTATCTCACTTCTGCGCCACGTGTGTAAGCCAGAATGCTCCTTCCCGTCGGTCTCTTACATCCAATTCAAATGATTCCTTTACACCGCAGCAAGAGGAAATTTCCGACATGCAAATAAGAACATTTCCTTCCACACTCCTACATGCCACCAACTAACATTATTCATCAATTGCTACCTTTCCACCCGCATCTCAGCCTCTTCCACAATCTATATTTATGAGATGAGACGAGATGAGATAAGATGCCATCAGTTGGGAGCGGTTAAATGTTACTATACTCAAGGTACCAACTCTCCCCGAATGCACTGCTGCAGCCTTGAAGATCCTTTCGAATTGATCCCAAAGATTCCTTATTGGTTGAAGAGCGGTCGAGTGGAGATTTCAAACCAACCTGGGAAGTTGCAATACCCTCCCTCACCAATCCATGGATTACTCAAATCCATCACGCGAGACAAAAGGAATATGTTTTATATTCACTTTACTATTCAATTTTGGAGATTAGGTTCTTATTGAGGATCAAACAGATGCTCTTTTCAAAACTCTCACAATCAAGCTTGAGAATGGCGAATCACGTTATTTCCCTGTCCTTCAAATCCATGCTGCGCCATGTATTTTCTTCATTTCTTTACACGCTCGAAACAACCCTTTTTGAGCATCTCTCAAACTTTCCATTCTTGATTCCCAACTCCACCATCCAATCCTTTCATATCATCTCTTCCTTCCTCAGATCAAACAATATTGCCGTAATGAGGGGTCGTCCAACTTGAGACCATGTTGCACAAAGCGTGTAGGTTGCTCAAACAGATGATGTATCGGAAATTCTCGCGCTCATTTATCAAATCATTTTAAGTTGAGATGAAATCACGAGACGGATTTGATTGCCCTTTCATCTGTTGCACTCATTTTCTCTGTAGCACCACTTGCTTCTCTTTTGAAATTCCTGGCATGAATATCAACATGGGAACTCAGCATGCAACCTCGTCATGTGTCATCATGCCTTCATCCATGGAGTCATGGAAAGTAGAATCTCCTCAATAAGTGGGATGAACCCTCGATGTCTCACACTGTCTGATCTACCGATCGGACGGAAACAATTCGTTTCCTCTCCATAATCTGGGGTTGTGTTCCCGAAAATATATCAAATATCACGTGATGTGTTTTACATTGATGGAGATGACGACGAGCATTGCAAATGTTTACTCGAGCTTTTACTAGTTGAATGTGGGGTACGAAGCAGCATAAGATCTCATATTGTACATTACATCTACTGAAATGTACAGTCATCTCGATTTCAATGCAGAAAGTAAAGCTTAACCAGTCGAATTTGCCAGTCATCTTTGTGCTAAATCATAATTTCTGACAAGGGATTGTTCAGTTTTCGATCCTGTCTCTGTTGCTGACATGGAACAAGGAAATACTTCTACAAAAATACAATGGCATTGTACTGCGCTTGTACTTGCGACTATTCACCAAAAGTAAAATAATTTCACATCTGAACAGGACATTTTTGTTTGCATAAAAACTGCAGAGTTCCTTCAAGGTAATTCCATACTTCACTTTCAATTCATACAGCAACAACAACATCTACTCATTCAAACAACGGTAGTATTAAACTTGCTTGGTTATCAAAACTTACTTAGTAACCCTAAAACTTGTCAAGATGAGTGGCAGAATTCAGAAATCCAGTCAAAAAGCCAGCGGCTTGACTTGCATTTGCGCTCTATGCGGAAAGCATCTACGAGACAAGCACTCGCTGACTCTTCATAAGAGTGCTAAACATTCAAGCCAATTCCATCCATGTACAAAGTGTGATGAGAGCTTCTCCCTGAAAACTGATCTTAACAAACACATCGAGGAGATTCATGGAGAGATCAAAAACATGTGTGAAGAGTGTAATCGCACATACGTCAGTGTTAAGGGTTACAAGGACCATGTCAAGAATTACCATGGAACCTTTCCATGTCCTCATCCTGGTTGTAACCGCAAGCTAAGTACTCTGAAGAGCCTGAACCGCCACATTGATATTCACGTTCGCGAATTCCCATGCAAAATTTGCGAAAAATCTTTCGCGAGCGATTCTGTTCTTCTTAGACACATGGATTCCACTCACGCGGAATACAGCTGTATATGTTCAGTTGAAGGTTGTAATGCCAAATACGCCGTTCCCGCTTCTTTGAGATCTCATGTTTTGCGCGTCCATGAGATCAAAGTTCATCCGGAGACTGTTTGCAAGCTATGTGGCCATGACTTCAGAGGCAATAGGACCAATCTAAGAAAGCACATGGAAACGATTCACTGGTTAGATTTATTCAAAGGGAAGTTTGGAAAGCCACGGAAAGATGGAGAAGATGAAGATGTCCCTGAAAATCATCTTGCCCCCATGAAACTTAGCATAAAAGGCGCCGGCTCACATTAGACAAGACGTTGACAATCCCGCTCGCAATTTTGGTAAAAACATAATGGTAACATCTTCCAATTTTCATTTGTAATAAAGTATGAGAATACTTAGATTTCATTATTTCATTTGTTGTGGGATGCCCTAGGATTTTTCATTTCTATTCATTTCAGAAACCCCAAAAACAACACAAAACGAAACAACTCTCCTAAAAAAACGGAAACTCCTCCATAATCAATTTTCTTTTCTTTTCAATATTTCCCCCTCTCTTTCTCATGTGCAGCTATGTAATATTCGAGTGAACTCTAATGATATAAAATCGAGTATAAATAAATTGTTAGTGCTCTCCACTTCGTACCCCAAGTTTTCCTTCTTATCACGTTCCAAACTTCCTTCTGACTCGCTTCATCATCTTCTAATACTAGTATATTACATCAAACTGAGACTGTAGTAAGATTCCACCCACTTGATGTTTGCAGCCAGGTCCGATGGGGCTATAGTCAGTCGTGTGTGCGAATCACGCGTAGCTTTCACAAAAATTCGTGCACCGTGGATTGGAAGAACATATCGAGCTTGGCTTCTTTTTGGTTTCGATGGGTGGGAATCGTGGGTATTATGAATTGACGTCGAGGACATCTAATCGATGTAAAAATCAAAATATTCATGACTAGACCTTACCTTAAAACAGCAACAACCCGAATTACCCTCTTACATTCTCGCTAAACCCGACTGTAGAGAGTGATGTACGCAAGTGCTTATATGTAAATACTACTGAGGTACTAGGAGTGAATGGCTTAGAGAACTTGGGGAATGTGATATTATCAGTAAGTGATAAGAGTGAAGAGTGAAGGGTGTACGAGTAATGCGGAATATGTACTATTTGGAGCCTGGATTTGTCAGGGTTTGGGTTCTAAGAGTCTCGTTATTTGATCTGCGTATGGTATTTAGTAATTGTACCCCATGAATTGTTTGGTTGTAATCATGTATATACTCCAAGTAGATCTCTGGGGTTCTTGACTAGTGGTGTATTGCTACTGTATGATCTCAGAGAAAGAGTGAAGATTTCTTATTTTTCTTTCTTTTGTTAAGGGGTTAGTTTTATCAAATCAAATGATACTATTCGATTTATTATAATAAGATTGTCAACTCAAAGTCACAACCCTAGTAAAGATATTTTTTCCTGTCTACTAAAAATGTAGAGCTGATATTTATATTACAAATATCCCCCTTTCTGCAAACGATTACAATTCTGGACTTTCTTCCCTTGTCTCTTCCACTTTCTTTGGCTTGTCCGGCTTTATCCACACGATCTTACGTGAATCATGAGCCCAAGACCTTGGATCCTTCGGATCTCCCTTTCCCAAAAGTATACATCCCATCGCAACCGTCAGGGACATTGGTTTCTGCGGAAACGCCTCGGGCCAATTCGCCGGCTGTGTAAGCGCATCTGGAATACCCTTTTGATAATCACTATACCCTTCGGTCCAGGCAATGTTTATTGCCCTCCACGGATGATTCACCCCGTCGTAATCCATGGGCCGCATGGACGCATCTACGGGTAGTGACTCCCGTGTATTCTCATATGTCGGACGTATGTATTTGAAATCCGAGTGGTGCAAATTCGGCATGTTGAGCATCATTGGCTCGTACATCTGCCAGAGGGGCAGCAGGTTCGCGTCGGGATACTGTCTGTATTTCTCGGGCACGGTGCCGATGGAGAGCCGGATGAATTTGTGCGGGCGGTTGAACTCCCCGCGGATGGTCGGCCGCAAAGTGTCGTGGATTTTGGTCGCTGCCGAAGCCGGGGATGTTTAATGCTTGGCCGGCGGGTCGACATGTGAATATGAACGAGGAAGATGCCGTAGATGTCGGCGGTGATCTGCTGGATGTCGTCGTGTCGAATCGCGCAGTAGGGAATCCCGAGGCGCTCTTTGATGTTGAGGTTGTTGTGGCCTTTGCGCTTTTCGTTCAGCCGCCGGTAGAGTATGTGTCGGGGATGTTTGGGGGGTGGCGAGTACTTGTCCCAACATCATGTGGTGTTGGGATTTTACATGCGGCCAGAGTTCCCAGTTGCCGTAGATGGCCCAGGCCACTAGAGTTGTGTTAGTATCCTTGCTTATTTATTTTCATTTTTTTATTTATTATTTTTTTGAGGACGAGAGAGAGAGAGAAGTCAAGTAAAACATATAATTACCCGCTCTCCAATACGAATTCGACACCAACCAAATCAAATTATGCGGACCCTGATACTGTTCATCGGCCGGATAGCTGCGCACGATATTAAACCTCGTATCCTCAATCAACGGAAACCCCTCAATGCCAATCTCGGTAAAGGGATTTAACTTTACGCCCCGCACCGTCGGGGTAAAAAGCTGATACTCCTCCAATGTCTCCTGGAGTCGCTGATCGGGAACTTCTTCGAGATCCCGCGCGCGAATCACGGGCAGCGGAGGAACTTTCTGGCCGTAGAAGACGGAGAGCCAGTTGAGTACGTCGAAGGGGGTGGGTTCGTTTATATTTTCGCGGCCGGGTTGCAGGGGGATGTAGTCGCTTATGTCGGCGCTGGTGATGGGGCGCTGGTATTCTTCTCGGCTGTCGAATGTGTGGTGGACATCGTATTTGTTGGACATTTTGGAGAGGTTTGTGGATGGATGAGGGGAGGGAGAGGTCGTCTGGAGGGGTTAATCATTGTGCTTGCTTGTTGTTGAGTGCTTGAAGTATGGTTGGTTTTTTGGGATAAAGCGGGCTTTGTTGCTTGGGGAATGTTGCTTGAGCATTGGGTGTTGGATAAAGGGGAGTCAAAGTCCGGAATTCATGATCTTAAGACAAAGAATACAGATATTGAGAGCTTCGGGGATGATAATATTTCGCGTTAGTGTTGCTTATTGAGGAGGTAGAGGAGAAGGGGCTTGGGTATTGAAAGTTTAGTATATGGGGTCCTATGAACATGATCCTGAGAGACATTGTAGCAAATACTGATTTAAAAACGATTTGGAGGATTGCGATACAGTTCATTTTTGAAACTCAAGGTTGGTTGTTCGAAATCAACTAAACTTAATAATGAGACCGATACTTCATCCCCGCGACCTGAAAAGTCTAGGGGATAGGGAAGATCAGACATAAAGAGGGTGTAGAGTAATTATACGTCTGAAACCACCATGTCAGTACGAAGTATTGTAAGTAGTAGTGAAAAGGTTCATAGTTTTTGATTCTTCGTCAAATTTATCACTTATGGACAACTTCCAAATTGCACGTGTCAGATAACCGGATTACTACTATACCCCTTTATCTAGTGACTCGAGACAAACATAAATAGGTGTAATATTGAATACTATATAAAGCAAAGTTTCTCCCCGAAAAAATCAATTATACTACAGAAAACCCATATATACTGACTCCAGCATCTCTTTACCAAAGCACAATCCATCAATCAGTAAGTAAGTACTCTTTCAATAGAATTTCCTCCGCCAACTCCGCATTCACAACATCCAAGATATTTCTCCTCACCACCTAGGCGGTTTTTTTGGTGTTTTTCCCGTCTTGGGAGTCTTGGAAGCAGACTTCTTATCAGCATTTCCAGGAGTCTTTTGCGGCCTCCCCTTTGGCGGTTTCTTACTTGATTGTTTTGCTGTTTCGTAAATATCACTGTCGTCATCATCGGAATCAGGGACGAAACCGGTGAATTTCCTTTTCTTTTTCGTTCCTCCCGGTGTGTATTGATCTCTCGGGATCAAGTTATCCGCTTCGTCAAGATCATTGTCCTCATCGTCACTATTGAGATTGTAGACTATCTTTTTTTGGAATCTTTTTGCTTTTGGGATTGTCTGGATCTTCCTTTGTGACCTTTCCCTGCTCGGTTTTCTTCCCCTGTGCCAATATTCTCGCGAGGTTTGCTGCTAATTCCTCATTTGTAGGTAATGTGACCTTCTTCGGAGGTTTTGGTTTTGCTGCGTCGGCGATCCTTTTTTCTTCTGCTTTCTTCTCCTCTTCCTCGTCCTTGGCTTCTGCTTTCACCCACCACTTGATCTCCGTAGGATCATTGAGCTCCCTTGCCAACCTCCTTTCTCTTCTCAGTCCGGTCTTGACCAACTCAATATCTAGAGCTCCTTCTGCGGTATTGATCCCAAGAACTCGAGTCATATCCATCAATGACGGTTTCGGGATGACTGGCAGCGCAATGGGTGGAGGCACAATATTTCTACTTGTACCGAAAGGTCGCATCTTTGATCTTCCAGGCCTGGGGTTACCGTCACGCCATCGGGAAAAGGAAACTGAATCTCGTTGTCCTCGGCTATCAAACTTTCATAATGATTCCGATTGATGAGGTGGAAAAACACGTGCGTCGCGTTGTATTGGCCAAAGAGATCGATCGTATTGGGTGCCTCGTATAGTACTACAAAGAGATTGTAGATATCGGCTGTGATATTAAAGAGCTCGCTTGATTGCCAGGCCTGGTGGAATTATGATTAGCAACTGCACTATCACATTGGTCAGTATGTACGAGCAGTAACTTACATGTGGAGTGTTCAATCGGTGCCACATATTCATTTCGCCATCGGCGTCCCCAAAAGAATTTAAATGCCAATAAAAGTCATATCGTGGATGTGCAGGATGCGTGAGCACGTAACGAAAAAACCACAAGTGACAGTACTTCGTATAGTGCCAATACAGAGTAGTTCCATACAAAGCCATTGAGACTGAGATTGTCAGCATGAGATTCTATCGACACTCGATCACAAGAATATATCCTAAACTCACCTGAACCGAAAAAACAATCTCCACTCGCGGGTATTTTACTCGGATAAAAGATGACACCATCCATGAATGGTATTTCGACGCGCAAATTTTTGTTTATAGGCACTCGCCCAGGCATTGGTCTGACGATCGGGGGCTCGTACATGTCATCCGGAATACTGTCTCTTACTGCCTCATTTGCATCCTTGCGTAGATTATGCTTCCATTTAAATTCCCAGTCTCCAGGGCCCGGCCATTTTTTGCGCAATTCTTCAGTATGTGGATCTTTCGGTCTGGGCGCGCGAACTGCTTGTGGAGATAGAGGCATAATTTCCGGTCTGGGGGCTGGAGGAGGAACTATTTTTGCCAATTCTGCCTCTTTTTGGGCTTTACGTGCCTCCCTCCTTTGCCTCTTCCTTGCTTCTTCAACCTCGAACCGTTCAAGACTGTGTTTATTCGCAGGAAGCTCGGGAAATACAGGGGGTCGCGGAGGAAGGAGTGGCCATGCGCTCTTTAAATGTTCTTGCGGGATCCATTGCAGGGGCTCGGTTGTACGGATCGTTTTATAACGTGGTGGATTTAGTTGCTTCAGGGTGTGGGGCGTATATTGAGCCCATTTGAGGGGTTGAGTCCGCTCGGGTCTTTGGTATATGGGCCTGGCGACGTTGATGTTGGGATCACGTCGAAGGACGCGAGCGAGTTGTTCTTCGTTCATCGTGTTGCGATTGAGAGATGTATTTACGAGACCAAACTTATGTATTCCGAAAAGATTACCACTTCTTTTTAGATGCGTTGGAATTTTTCGAATCCGCCATCAATATTATGGTGGCCGTGTATATTAAATATTATACTAGGTTCTCCTAAGGTGTGATAAAGAACTGTCCTTTCCTTGCCCAAAATTCATTTGACGTTTTGGGATGCTGAATGAAAAGGCAATCCAGGAGAGATAAAGACATCCTTACCGGAATAAGGTGAGGACACAAAGAAAGAATATCCTCTTGTTATAAGACCTTTGTATAATGGACTGGTTGGAAAAGCTTTCCTGAGGATTGAAGTACTGATAATACTGGCAGATATCAAATTGCGATGCTAATTTTCATCCTAGATCCGAAAAAGGGGTATTCGTGATTTGCCGACATCACTTATCGAGTGTATAACTTCAACGCTATGAATAGTAATGATGTTTGCCACATAAAATCTTGAGAACATCGACATTTACAGTCATCCTAGAATTAATAGGAAACAAATCATTTCATCTGTCGTTTATATAATTAGACACCTAAATTCCATGCCTCGGAAAGCCTATTTACCTTTTCACTTATTTCATGCCGTAGACCTAAAAATGAAAACAGATGTGGTGTAAAATCGACTCTAAGCTGTCATCTATTGATATTCAATACAAGCTCTGACTTGAAGAAAGCTTTCCTTAAATAAGAGGCGGTTTATGAGAGATATATTCATTCCAAATCGGATGTGTCTCCCATCTTTTCCACCTTTCCCCATACCCAGTGTTTCTTGAGCTACAGTACTCGAAAGAGATTCAACAACTATCCTTCAAATTCTAGCCGGCTGCTGAGATTATTGAATGCCAACCCTTTCATAGCATCTTAAGATAAAATGAGGCCCGGTGCTTTGAATACATAAACAACAGAAAGCTTTCTTCAGACAAGCCCATCATCCATTTTAGACGGTGATCACGATATAATTCGAAGCGGCGACTTTACTGAATACATACCACGCAGCTCAACATCCACATGAACTACCATCACACCTTTATTCTACATTGTACTAAAGTTCACAAGTTACGATTCCACAAAACAATCTCCAAACACATTTCCATATATATCCACAAAAACTGTACTTCCTCAGCCAATCCCCAGCCATTCCAGTAAACGACTCCACATGAAAATGATTCCCAACCCCACAATTTCCTCAAAACTCAAAAATACAACAAAATCCCCATGAATAGGAGGATACAAAAATTTCTAAGAAAGAAAAAGAAGGAATGACCTGCTGGCCTCCAAAATGTCAAAAGATCTCGACGTCGGCATGATTCGAACATGCGCCCCCGAAAGGAATTGATTTCTAGTCAATCACGTTAACCACTCCGTCACGACGCCTTATTGATAATAATCCAGCCGTTATATTTATTTATATCCAGCCGTTTTTTTCCAGAGCTCTTGTTATCTGCCGGAAAGAGAGCATCGTGATTCTCATTGGCTGAGGTAAAAGTATGGTGTGTCTATGTATGGGACATCGAAATCAATCGATCAACATTGAAAATTAAGTACGTACAGAATAGAGAACCAATTTCTGAAACAAAATAAAAATGTCAGACTTACTCTCAAATTGAGGACTCTTGATTATAATAGGGTTAACCTTACATATCACAGATTGAAAAATATAGGGAAAAAAGTTCTTCATCTCGAGATTTACTTTGCAAAGTTAACATGCAGTACGTCCTGTCAAACTGAGGAGGAAAGTTACTGGCGGATAGCCATTCAAGAATGCAATTAAGGTATCAATATTATGCTTCTTTGATAAATCTGTGAAGATTGTAAAGTGTGTGCGTTCAGCTCTGCATATTGGTCAGTATCTGCTTCAGTTCGAGCAGTTCGATAACCGGATTGACGGATGACAAATAGATACAAATGATAAAAAGGAACATTCCAATGATAATACTGATATATGCACTCTGCTCCATCATCATACAGCGTACGCCACGCAAATTATCAACTGTCTTGACAACATGTTGACAACATGTCTATAGCATACCGACAGCCACTCCCTCGATGAAATCCAACAAGAAGGCCTTCAACGCCTCCTCCAAGTATGTGACAGATCGAGACAACAAAGATCTAATGTTACGAATGAGAGTCTCACGCACGGAGGAAGTGGTGAAGTCCAGGGCACGCATGTATTCTCGGAAACGAGATGGCCAGATGCATTAGCTACCCAGCTAAGGAAGGAGACCGCCACAACCCGGAATAAAAGATGGAGCCATTGCTTGCAAATATGGGGATACTGTAGGCATATCAATATACGCGAGCACATTCGCAGGAACATCTGCAAAAAGTATGTTTTTGATTTCGGTGCCGAAACCATGATTTTAGCGACAGGGGATGCCGTCGGGGCCGTTCTCCTGAAAGGGGTGTTACTTCTCTGTTTTCGATATCGAGCAAATAAAGAAGGTGCTATTGGCGGTAATGGCAGGAGACCGTTGATATTGCAGTCAATTTATAATCAATTCAACTTCAATCGAATTGTCCATTTCGAAAGCTACCTATATCATCGACGCCCACTGCACCGGTTAGGCATCCCCACATTGATGATCAAGTCAGATCTACCTGAAGCGATCGAATCCGATATCAGATCAACCATGATATCAAGATTGACTGAATGATAGTCTATCGAGAATCTGCATTAGATAGTCACATGATGAAAACCCGACCGGTCGAAGTCTTTCCAGGGTCAATGCTTATATCTGAGATTCTGTAACTTCTATTAGTGATTCTGTAATAGCCTTTTGACGACCAATAAGAAAAGTGCCATTGGCGCCAACTGTAAACCCTCATTTTCGGTGGGGATGTATATCTTGCTGAAGAAAAGACGGATGAAGCTAGCGCTGAACCGGAAGACCCTTGAGAGACTACGCACGCAGCCAGATCAGGACATGGGAATTTCCAGAACATCATCGCCATCCAGACTCTGGAACACGCAACATACGCCGAGGAATGTACTTGAGGTAGGACTACTTCTCCAAAACATCCACTTTTCTACTCTAAAAAGGGCTTCAGTGACGCACTCAAACCCTTCGAGATTAAAGAAATTCAGAGCACGGTCGAGCAGGCAATAGGCTCCTCTGGAAAGCAATCAGTGCTTCTACTGAGTGACGAGGTTGAGGCGGTTAATTACGATCTACAGTTGTGTATATGATGAAGTGATGCCCAGTAATTGACAGAGTTGGACTAGGTTTTAGAGTTCATCTTCTCTAAGCTGAACAATCAACCTTGCCTCTGGGAAGTTGAAATTTTTTGTAAAAACACCCATAGAATCCTTTGAAATATAGAATCTGAGGAGTTTCATTGGGTATAACTTTGCCTTCAATTAATTATGGTTTGTATCGGAAACACCAGGGAAAACCGCATCGGAGTAGTGGCTCAGGAAGACTAGAAGGGCCCACCTGCCAACGGAACGATTCATCGATATTGATGATCTGTTTTGACGAATTTGATTGAGTTCATAGTCGTCCTCCGAAAGAGAAAAACTCTGCTAAAATATCGCTCAAAGTAAGTTTAGTCATTCTATGGGCCGGTACGCTCCGTGTGCGTTCCGCTGACAGGTGCGTTCTAACTGGACCCTTCTAAGTACTTTGAGGATATTAAGTTCTAGAGACTAGGGACCTGGAAGAAAGGATTGTTGATCTGGCCAATAGGCGGGGGTTTGAGTCGTGTATACCGTGAGCGGTAGTCCGTGACGAACTCTCTGCACCTTATCGTCTTTCAATCTCGGGACCGAGAGCCCCCATATCACGCGTCCTTGTGGGGTATCTAATAATTCTCATATACTACCCTCCCCGCCTCCCTCCTTCTGACTAATGAGTATAACACCGTGGATCTTTGAATGGTAGCCGCAAATGATTAGCCACAAAAATTGAGAACCCACGGGTTTGTATATTTCTTTAGGAAGGAGAAGACTCAGGGGAGTGGTATACCTAGATATAATTGTGTACCGATTCTCAAATTGTCGAAAATCCGGTGGGGACGGGGCCCAAGCCGTCTCCACATATCTGAGCGCACAGGATTGAGTGCCGACGCTTTTTCCGGCACCGAACTAGATATGCATGATAGGGATATGGAAATTAGGTACCCGTTTTGGATTCGAGAGAAGATAAATATCGACCATGTGAAGAAGGTAGCCAGATACAACGAAGAATTGACACTCTTTTCCCGTCTTGATCAACGTTCTTTTCCATTGCATCTCTCTTCCGCTCCCTCGAAGTCATTGCAAACATGAAAATCGCTGACGTCACAGCCCTAGCCATGCTGCCTTCTACTGGCTTGGCAGCTTGCGGCACCGCTTACTCGGGCAGTCAGGTCGATGGTACACTACTCCGTGCTATCGTGCTTGATTTGGGTACCGACGCCGCCAACGTCACTGCTACTCAATACGACCAGTACTTTGAGCAAGGGAGCGCTCTCGAGGGTGTCAAGGCCCTTATCGCCGCTGGTCAATTTTATGTCAACCTGTGGGCTATCCCAGGAACCGAGGCCATCTTTCAGAACGCCAGCCAGTGCGTGAGCGACGGCTACCTGATCAATCAAGTGCCTTGGTTGTATTACAACACCACAACCGCGAGCTGGTGGGGTGGTTATGAGGCTGAGACCGAGGCCGATAACTACGACGCCGCCGCCCTTTCCCTCGTCACAAATATTGTTGCAGGTCTCGAGGTGCGCTTCTGGGATACCAACGGTGATGGCTACACTGACCTCATCGATGCCGATTACCTCGAGGGTGTCACCATCGACACCATTACGCAAAACGCCAATGGCACCTATTCGGTCTACCGCGGTAATATCGACGTCGCTAGCAAGACTCCCTATGAAGGTACTATTTTCGACGCCGACCATTTCGACGGCAGTGGAACGCCTATCCCAGCCGCCAACTTCGATACTAGTACCAAGTCGGGCGACGTCGCTCTCTTCTGGTACGGCCCAAATGGCTGGGCTATGAAGCGCGCCCAGGAAATACTCGGCATCTTCATCGATGGCGCTGATCACACCGATTACGATGTCGGCGGTGTCGTCTACGAAGATGCTATGCGTTTCTCCCGCGACAACCTACCTATCTCCAACCGACCCGGTGAATTCACCGACGCCCAGAAATTCTTCGGATTGACCAACGACACGGCCGCGGGTCTCAACGTTAGCCTCTGGCTCGTGCCCGTCACCAATGCCTCGGACTTTGGAGGTCCCGTTGGTATGACGAGTGCCGGCAACTCAGGCGCCTTCCTTACCCGGGCCATTGCCCAGGCTCAAGCCCAGCTAGCCAATGCGACTATCAGTACCGACGGCTCAGACGTTTCCCCTACCAAGAAATGGGTCACCCAAGACGTCTATACCCAGCTTGATGATGCCATCACACGTGCCAACTCAGCGCTTTCTTCTGCTAACAACTCGGCCGTCCTACTTGACTACCAGACATACCTCTTATACCTGAACCTGTATGGCGGTGCTGACGATATTGGCGCCGTATTTGCCGGCTTCAACTACACTGGTTTTGAGACCGAGGAGCAGTTCGGTCCGGCTTAATTGCTTCATGCCCGCAACGTTGTTTTTGTTTCTCTCTGGCTCTCAAAGGACAGAAGTAGGAATGGTTCTCTAAATGTATATATCCGTACATAATATAAAAATGTTTTTAGCACGTTTAACCCTGTTTCTCTATAATCATTGCGCACTATAGTGAGCTATTTGTAACCTACCAGTATACGCTGCCGAATTGAAGGTGGCCATATTGACGTATCTTCATAATGCGGCTGGCAAGAGAGTGTTGTATTATTCGGATGTCGACAGTGTACTTTCGTAGGCAAAACCTGTGACTTCTCCGGAATTCACTGTTTACTTTCTCTTTTTGTGTACTAGGTATCTTCGACTATCAAATGGTTCAAGTGAACGAGGGAAAAAGACACGTTCACGTTGCTAAAGTACGCGCGTAATGACCTCACGTGATAGTCACTCCACGATTTTGAACCTGCTGAAGAATATAGATTAAAAAAATATACTTAAAACCTTCAGGGGTACCATAGCACCGTAGATGAAATCTAGCAGTCTTGATTGCAAATATTGTTCCCTATATTCGACAAGTTTCAGACGGTCAAACCAGACTAGGTCACCATATTTGTCCAAGTAAGCTCGATGTGAGCCATCATCACCACTGGGCGAAAAAGCACAATCAATCATAGAGTGAGAAAGTCACAGGAACATAGCACAAGAAGTTTCCAATAAAGTCTGGTGAGTAATAGGTATGAGATTGCGATCTCCGCGTATAACACCTCATCCTTATCAACACTATTGAGATCAACTACCCAGTGCATCAACCATCCCATTCATTCCTGCTGTACACACCATCAAACCCATAACTCATTAAAAAGCCCTGATAAAAGGATCACCTAAGCACCAAGCTATCCTCCCAATCCCTAGACCGGTAAGCTATCCATGCTATGGCCCACGCAGACCTCAATAACCATAATGCACCCGAATAAGTTACAAAAATCAGACCTCAGGCCCATCTATCAATGCCTGTGCAGAAACTGAAACTAAAAATCAAAGGCTAGCTATCCTTCTCTGTGTATCAAAAACTCCAGAGTAAGCTGCCCGCCGGTATCCTATGCTTGTGTGCGCGCCAAATGCCAGATGTAAAGAAGAAAAAAACAACAAAAAACTCCGAGAGCCTGTGGCTCAATGCAAGGTGTGCTGTACGAGAATACAATGCTGGAGCAACCATAACGATCAACTAGAGATCATGATCTTCCAAACTCATGCCGGGATTCAAGATTAGATAAGTTCGAATCCATCATCCTCAAGCGGTTCTGATTTATGGGTTTTAGCCTTCGAGTCTCCACGAGTACGAGAAAGAGCCTTGGATCTGGGACTCTTTCTGCCTCTTTGTCTTTGAAGAACTGTCTCTCCTTCTGCATCCAAAACCTCATATTCACCCCTAATGATCTTCTCGGTTTGTTCATTGACCCATCTCTGCTCCGCAAGGTCTACCAACCCACCCAAGTCCACTCTGTTGCTTGGTGTGTCTGTTCTATCAAAAGAGTAAAGAACACCCTCGTCACCAGTATTCATGATTGCGGTAGCGATAGATGGAGATGTATTATTGTAATGTGTTGGAAGAAGATCGAGTAGAGATCTGGAGAGAGGATGGGAGGTCTTATCTGCAGCCTCAACATGGGCATCGATCTTGCGGGCGATACGGGAAGAGGATGTAAGACCGTGGTTGTAAGATGGGGACCCGGATGGTTTTGAAGGAGCATTGAAACTGTTACGGTAATGTCGGTCGGAGCTGCCACTGAAGGAACGTGGGATTAGTTCGGGGTTCTCATATTTTCTATGAATAGGATAGCAAACGTACACTTGACTCCATAACTTTTGAGGTCTAACCTTCTCCTTTCCCTTAGCAGATGCATCGCCATCAGTCAAACTTATGAAAGTCTTGTTCGCGCCAGCTTGTGGGCGAACCCCCATGACCCATTTCTGGGAGTGATCTTTATCACGTTTGAAGGCTTGGGCCTCAGAGCGAATGTCCCGGTGTTGAATAGGAGAGGTTGGAGTGTTAGATGTAATGGCAGACATGTTGTACGTCTTTCTTGTTCTTGGTTGATGGATTTGTATGGCGCAAAGTTGTAAGATTGGAATACTTATGGAGCGACGTTTCTTGTAATAAGAGATGAGGCCAAGATAGAGAAGAACGTGGCGGTAAACCTTTCTTTGTGTTGGTTTATTCCTTAAAATAGATATAGGAGTGTCTTCCTTTCCGTTCCGTTCACGTACTTATCGGATTGTCCCGTAGGGAATTGTATTGTATCGTTTCTACTCTTTGATTTCAAAGAATATAGCACCTTGTAGAGGATTTGTAGGATGTTCGCAGAGGCAAATTTATTAAGAGAGAAATAAAGGTTTATTAAAGAACAAAGTAGAAGGTTCGTGAATAAGATGATTCAGGCTTTGGCCGGATGACTGTAACGAGTAGTTGCGGCACGGGGAACTAGAGTCACACGTTCCAAGATCAGAAACTGCGAATCAAAACACAATCAAGTGGTGAATAGCAGTAAGGCTGTATGTATGTGATGTTGTAACTTGGATTATTAGTCCTTTGAATCAAAATACAAAGGTTTCGTTGAGTGAAAGGAGAATGTGCTCGGTGAGTGAGTCAGATGAGGGTGAGGCTGATATCCGATGTTGATATCCGGATAAGAAAGATAAAGAAGGAATATGTACGAAGGCTTGATTATGGATTAGGTAGAAGTCGTAAATGGAAATCCGAATGGTGATACTGTGATTGAAAGTGTAAGGGATTTGTATAGCTATTGATATTTGATAGTTCTTTGAATGATGAATGAAGGAGAAGGAGGGAGAGCGAGGAAGAGAAGTAAGATATATGGGACATGTTTCGTTGCTTATCAATGGCTTCCACCTCGTTCACTTGCCTGAACATCATGTACCCGCCAGCATTACTCCAGCCTCCCGCCACGTTCAATAACAAACAAACAAACAAACCACGCAAACAAGGCACAATCTCATCTCTTCCTTCTCATTGATCCAATGAACCCCAGGTAGATGAGTGTATGGCGTATGACCTAGATTGCCCTCGGCCATCACCGGACCTGGCGTAATAACGGGGAAATGTACTCGGTCTTGGTAAAATACATACAACATACAGTACTAAGCCTTCTCCTCTCCTCTCCTTTCCTCTCTTCGTCTCTCTTCTCTGCTCTCCTCTGCTCTCCTCTGCTCTCCTCTGCTCTCCTCTGCTCTCCTCTGCTCTCCTCTGCTCTCCTCTGCTCTCATTTGATTGCTCGTTATCGAGAATAGGGGATGAAACCGGATGACACCTTGTTGGCTGAGTTGGTCAAAAGCTATGCGCGCGGAGGAGCTCGAGTTCCATCTCTTATCTCCATAAACTCATGCAATACAACATCACCAACTTCTGGAACTCTTATCGCTTTGCATAATCATGAGGGCCCGGATTCATGTGCCTGCATAATCTTCTAGATACACCTCGGCGCTTAATAGGCCAACACCCTCCATGCTTTCAATACTCCGGTGCTAATTGGTAGAGTTCGAGAAGGGTGAACACACACACAACGTGCCCAGATGGTTGAGGAACAAGGGTAGCAGTGATGTTTGTATGTAATGGTGTATTATTAGATATGTCTCGTATGTCTTGTATATTTCCCTGTTCGCATCATTGATGAATCAAAGAGAGTATTACATCATGATGATTGATTCTCCCCAGGATAAACCATCCTTCCCAGCTTTCACAGCCCTACCAAACCGAGGTTCGCATCGATCTTTGATCACAGTCTAGAGATTAAATTCAACAAGTATATTCGTAGAGGCGGGAAGGACTTGGTCCGACTTACTTGGCCCCATGATCGAAAGATCCAATCCAATCCAATCCATCGAATGGAAACAGATTCCGGTATAGAACTTCACAAACATAATACGAGCATAATCCTTAAACTACATAATGATGCTTTCAACTGATACTCACACGCCTCATGCACTGAGACACATATCTCATTTCGGTCATCTATCGATCAAATGAAGAATGTAACACACACATGTGATACCACAACGCAAACGCTTATCTTTATCACGTGAAGCAGGACCCGAATACAAACACATGCCAAGAAGGAACAACTATTCAACATCGAAATGGATCGGAAAGCTCCGAAATATGTACTAACGAGGGTAATATATACAGGTACGAAGGGACTGTGAGAATGGAAAGAACAAGTTTGATCAACCTCCTCGGTACACGTGATCATGAATCATCACTTCCATAATTGAGTGACGTTGTCATGTTCAGATTACGTGCACGAGTCTTACTTGAAAGTGTCTACAAAGAACAAGAGACACCACCGCTTGTTGGGACGTTGAGACAGTCGGATGACGACTTGCCGCCTGTTATGGAAACATCGGTCCATGTCCACTATTCAAAGTCAGAATTTGATCTTGTATTGATCACATCACGTGGATATCTATTTGGAGAGAGATAACTTACATCAGTGCAAGAACCGCTTCCACACTCGATAAGAATGTTGGTGGCGGTAGATTCAACGGTTCCAGTAATATTTTCGAGAATAAATTTGGAAATGGTAACGCCATTCGTTGGCTCACCGGAGGTGCCATCATAAGCTTGATTGACTGTGATACCGTAGTCGGTGATACCGGAAAGGGTAATGCCTGAGTAAGTGATGCCAGAGACGGTTCCTGTGTCACCAGAGATGGTCTTGATACGGATACCTAGAGAGTGTTAAGAAAGGTCGTCCATTAATCTCACAATGGAGGATGACATAACCATTTTGCGAATCCTTGATCTCGGAGCTTTCGAACAAGACAGTCTCAACAATGTTGTCATCTCTACCGCCGACAGATCCAATTGAAAGACCGTGGCCACCGGAGCAAACACCTCCTGAGAAAGTAATGCCCTGGAAGAAAATTGTTAGTCCTTGCTCAGAAAACTCAATAAAGTGTTGACTTACAGTTCCGGAGTTGATAGCAACGCAATCATCTTGATTGTAAACATTAGCGCCCGTGATGGTGACGCTTGTACTGGATCCAATGTCAAAACCATCAGTGGTTAGCACCAAGATCATCAGTATCACCATCCGCTGCATTAATGGTAACTCCAGAAATTGTCAAATCGCTTGCGCCGTTAACACTCATCACTTGGACGGGTGGGTTGTAAAGATAAAGGTTCTCAATCTTTGAGGAGACCAAGTTGTGTGCGTAAAAGAATTTTGGTTTGGTCTTTCCTCCGTTGGAACCTTCTCCATCCCAGTAAGCAGCTCCGCGCCATCGAGGTAAGCACCAGTGCTTTGAGTAACGGTGATATTTGTTCCCGAAACAGAGACCAAAGGACCAGACCATTCTTCATAGCCGAAGGTGGTGATGCCTTCAAAGATGACCTATTGATCGGACAGTCAGTATAGTGCAAACTTCGGGCTCTTTGAGTAACAGCTTACTGTAGTTCCTTCAGTAAGGCCTGTCAGATCCAAGGTCGTGCCGGACGGGACTGCAAGTGCAGATAAAACGATGGTTGAACAAGAAGTCTTAGACTTGCTTGCCGATGAAGCTCCTCCCGAACCGGAGAAAGTGCAGGTAGTTGCTCGCTTATCAAGATCTGGAGCAGCCGTTGGAACTGGTGCTGCAGCAGGAAGAGCCGAAGCCAAAGCGGAAAACCCTCCCAGGAGGAGACAGACAGAAAGCTTAACCATTTTCAAGATGAGCCAAGAGATGAAAGTGTATTGATGAGCAGCGTGGCTTCTTGGCTTTGGAAGCGACTACTTGGCGTTCTTATACACTTCCTTGGCACCTTGTGAGAACCCGCTTGAAGAAAGCTTGACCTTGGAAACCCTGAGCCCCCGGTCATCATTCTTAGTGCTGGAAGAATCTGTAATGTGATAATGACTTTAATCCCAGTTTGATGCATGAGGACGGAAGAATTAGACTGACACACTTGCATTCACTGCAGATGGTAGTTTGGCTCAAGGTAACATTGTCATTTTTCTCGTTGTCAATTGGACCAATCTTTGAACAACAAGGAAAGATCTATCAAGAGCGTTATCCACAGCTGACCAGACCATCAAGGTCCACTGAAGAAACGGTGGGTCCGAAAGTGCGAAAAGGTCTAGGAAGAATGAACTTAACAGAAGGAAGAAATTATTCCGGATCTAATCTCGTGAGCACTCCTGGAGACTTTAACAATATAAATTTTGGACCCTCTTTCCTGTACCACACTCAGTGAGAATATCATTGACTGGTCCATTCGAAGCCGGTAGTTGAAATTTCCCCGGATTTTATAATTACCGAACTCGGTGGGACGCGTAAGAATCCATCCCCTCATTTCTTGGCTAAAATATCCATGAACCTTAATATTTGATTCCCCACAATGCCAATTTCTTTAGACCTTTGCGGCCAAGATTATTCCAGATGCTATTGTGGAACCTATGCATATTGAAAGATACAATTGAAGAAAATGTGATGATGTGTATTGTATGCAGTAGTAATGGTGCTATTGTTAGGGCTTAGTTTGTTGTTGTTTTGCCCACTCGCAAACTCGGTGAGGAGGAAAAGCGATAAAATCCATATGGATGTTCGAACACTAGCAGGTACCAGAATCTGAGTAGAATTCACGCAGAACCCAATAGCATTCCAAAAAGGATGATGGAATGTAGATCACAAAAACAAATCAAGATACCGATTGGTGGAGTCAAAACATCTGATAGCTGCCCTCGAGTTGCCCAACAGATTTCCGCCAACCAACAATGCGGATTGAATTTTGAACAGAGAGCCACGGGACCACAGGTCCACCATGGGTTTGTTTCAATATTAGAAAAATAAGATATTAGACGGCAGGACATAAAAAGCCGCGAATGAAAATGAAGATAACAATTTAAAGGGTTTGACATTGTTATTACTGTACGCGTAGACTTTAGCGGGTGTTATTTCTGGCGATAGTGATTGATATGATTGCTTGTAACATCTTCGGAGAATAAGCGATTAGCTGTTCATCCCAAGTTTCGGAGCATTATAGTTTTCCAAACCAAACTTCAAACTTTATCCATGTTGTAAACGTGTATTCTAAAGTTTTCCTCCACGTCACGCTGCGCTATTTGTTAAGATGGGGGTTTGCCGGTCGGTACTACGTACATTTGTAAGTACCTGGTACCTAATAATCTCCGAACTATCCCCACACGTAGCTTTCCTGCTTCGAAGATTTGTATTTTATATTGATTGTTTTGAATAACAACAGAGCATGGTCTTTGAGATTTCGTAGATTCATTAGGAAACTTTCAGGCGAAGTTCAAAAGATGACTATCGCAAAATGTTCGGAAGGTCGATGAAAAATATCAAAAATGTGATTAGACTAGGTATGCATCGGACCCGAGCAATAAATTAACCTGCTAATGTACCCCATGTTATCACTGTACGTATAGTAGTACAGATAATAAGCCCTTTTCATCAGCGGCGCTCCCACGGAATCATGTTTATGCACATGGCTGATATCAAATCTCCGATGAGGGCTTTCCAAAATCTCCTTGTCGCATTTCTAATGCCATTCCAAACACGTCTGCTAGCATACAAATGCTGTCACTCGCAAATGACCTAATTTTTATCTAGCGGAGACGGAAGTAGGCTTCCGTTTGCAATTCGGTGCCGGATGTCCAACTCAACTATTCAAATACCATCATCTCAAAGAATGGATAGAGCGTTGAATCCTGACGCTTTTGCAGATATCAAACGCAGCAAGACGTCGATTGCGAAATCATGATTACCGATAAAAGTTGATCCGCCTGATACACCTTCCACATTGATTCCATATCAGATACTCAAAACGCACAAGATCCGAGACTAGACTGAACGAATTCTGTATTGGGAAGCTCAAAAGACTAATGCGTCTAAGGCAAAGCAGCGTGTTTACTGTCGATCCAACCCCCTCAAGACCCCAGGAGCTTTGAAATTAGAAGTACCTCCCACTATTTCAGCGGGAGATTATTACCAGGTCCATATTTGACTGAACTTCTCTCACAGCGCTAGCTGCCGCATTACGAGGAATCTGGGGCGACAGATATCTATAGAATTGAAAGTCATTATAAGGATCTACGTTTCGATACCGTAGTATTGGCTGTTCTACTTATCTACATATATTATGCACCCCCACGCTACCAATCTTTCGTCTCAATTATAGTTCATGATTCTGCAAAGTAAGATAATCGCAAAATTTCAAACGCCTTCCTTGAATTCCTCTCAAAATAGCATTGTATATCAGACTTCCCATCAAATTCTCAATGCAAGTTCATCAATCGTCCCCCTCTCCACCCTCTACTAATCCAAAATTAACGCGCAGAATATACCCGTAACTCTAGACAGAATTTCAATGCATTCTGTAAATAATGGTATCATACATGCGTGATATCATTTTCTCTTACAGACTGTATGCTGCTTATTTGAAGAGTACAAAGTTCACATCTTGCAGCGCGTTACTGACCTCTTGTAGTGAACGATCGCTAGCTTGTGCGATTGATAAATCAAGAGCATCATGTTAATAAATCTCGACGATAATGGAGCACGATGGCAAAGACATATCCGTGAACTTGAGGTTGCTCGCTTGATCACCCACGCGTGAATTGTAAGAATTCATCACTTCAGAGTATTTCACCTCTACCACCACCTTTCTCGCTGAACCTCTCCACAAGGGTAACAAGACTACCAATACTCAGTTTTAGACTATCTCCATGCCACTCGTTCCGCTTTGGATGTAATTCCTTTTGCAAAGATTTATCTGTCTTATATTCAAGAGCCGCTGAGGGACTTCGAAGCTTTGGAGTCATATTGTTTTAGGACTCACCCAAGGAAATGATAAGTTCAAAATGTGATAAGGCGTTTAACAATGCGCACATTAAAATAAATCATGGTAGTATGAGAGCTCTATCATTATTTACCTAATTTAAGTTGGTAAATTGAAGAGTAGTCAGATAATCTCAAACTTCGTTGCTTTGTAATGAGGCTCTTTAGTTGTTAGATCTTAGATACAAGTTCCTAGTAGAAAAAGAACGAAGTGATTATGGTCGATCACCTTCACTTCAATCTAGATTGTCTTAACTTCTCAAGATCAAGTGGACATCTGCTTAGACCTAAGTCAGATCCAAGCTGTCTAGGTAGCTCACTCAAAATAAGGTCTTTTTACTACTCTTGACATCACCATGTCAATCGTAATCCAACTTCTCATTGCACGCTTCTCTTACTGTCGCCCCTTTATTCTCATAGCCTTATAAGGTATGTAAAGTCCCTCAGCTTTGGATTCACTTTCACAAAATTCTTCATTATCACACCATTTCGCCGTCGTTAACTCTATTTGAGTTTTCATCCTACAATAATCTTGAAATTTTTGGGTTGTTTGAATCTCCTCAACTACAACAACACGCGGTCATATGTCATTTATACAATGGAACAATACGTGGGTTAATTTCCCATTTGATACTCAAGTTCAGTTCTCGCGAGTCTGATTGATTCTTTCGTGAAGACACAAACTGATATCACTCAACAAGACATCTACGCTCAACTTTATAAACTATGGGTACCTACTTGCCACTTCTGCATCGTTCTGTCGGCCAGGGTTATTGGTTGTGTTTTTCTGAAGTAATTGTCTGGGCTAAGTGTTATCGACATCCAATACCGGATATCTTAATGATAGTATCGAATATTGCATGGCGACAATGAGTGGCGGCTGCGTGCAAGAGATCGCATTCTCGATACTGGCAATAGAATATTATTCCTTCAACAAACTTTCAGTCTTCTTAGTGTAGGTATCTTGAGTGATGTTCATGAATTCCCGTCTATGAAACGACGTTAAGTTTACAGTCCCTAACACGATGTAAAGCTGCTTTCGACAAGCTTCACTGGCAACCACTTTGCTACTGGAAGTGTACATCATAGCCAACTAAACACGCATCCTGAGTGGATTCGCAACTACAATCTCTCTACATTTTGCTTTCAAGATCTGGAATTTCCATAATCTTTATCGGCAACCAATTTTCTGCTAGTAGTGTACGCAACGTTACCTGCAAAGACAGAATGGAAAACAGCTAAAGCCAAACTCAGAAACACGTGAGTGATTACGACCCACGGCATCGTTTCTCTTCAAGCTTTGTAAAGATGACCAATATACTGAAGACAGACTCATGGATATCGATCCCACGGCTATTCCTCGCAAAGGTAGTCAAAATTTACTTTCCACACTCGAGTTGGCCCAAATGGTGGACCCGGAATGAAAGACAAGATGTTTAGATGAAGACTAAGGATCAAGAATATAGAAACTGTGACATCTGAGAAACTGATCCTCAAGGTAATGCATGGTCGTATTCTGTTACGTTAGTAGTCCCATATGTATCAATCACTTATTCAATTGCAAATTACTCTATTTGATATTGATATTATATTGTAAATTCGCAAAAGCAACAGAAATAAAATACATTATAATTCATTGTGTAATCATATATTTCTTAAACTAGGCTATTTTCACAATTATAGGCTTACAAAATTGATTCTAATTGATTATAAATAATTGTTTATTCTTTTGATTGATTGTATTTGTCGTTAATGTCAGGATAGAGTTATTTTGATCCGTTGCTTTAGTCCAATTCAAAGGCAGTATAATTATTTTTGATCAATTGGGATTGATTTTATGAATTTGAATATATGAAAATGGCCTGGTCACTTCCCTACCCAGAGAGATGCTTGATTATATAATGAATTACAATTTGATCTGAAGATGTTCGAATTTGATGTTGTAGGATGGCATATGTATTATAATATAAAATGATTATATTTAAACATCTATAATGACCAGTATACCTAAGTATACTACTACCTTAAGGTTGTACCTTAACCTCGATCAGAAAAGAAAGGAATGAAGGAAGGTACTTCTCAATCTACTTTTCTTCAATCTAGTAATCCGACAGTATCATCATTTCCATTACCAGGCTACTTTGAACTCTCTGGAGTAGTATCGGATTTCCTTGGGTTGCAATCATTTCGATTGAAAACTATTTACGATATTCCCCCTCCCCACCTCAAGCGGTCAACCATTCAAAGCCGCAATCGTTTGCTGACACAATTTTAAAACGTTACTTGGGTCCTAGAAGTGGTAAGTATGACGAGTAAATAACTCAATATCAGTGTGAGATCTTCACATCCTTTACCGAATGAATTACGAAGAGGCTTATGGATTGTGGATAGTGATACCACATCGTTTATTTCCATCATGTTTCCATCGTGCCATGTCGTGAAATGATCAGGTAGAGAGAAAATGGGACAGGCGCTTAGCATATAAGGTTAGCATCAATAATTTATCGATTGTGAATCACAATCACCATCACCATCACCTCCGCGCATCACAAAATCGGTCTATCAAATAACAGACAGACCCGGTCAAAAGATGGGTCCGCGTCTAAAATAAAAGTGCAAGATGAACAAAGATCTACCCATCCCACCCCAAATACAAATCTGCTCATGCGTGCACCTCCCTCTCAGCCCCCAAATCTCACACACACTTTCCATGCCCTCATACCTACAGTGACATACAAACAGTTTGCGTACCACATTCACATACCAATCAGCACATGGAGCCCCATCATTGGCGGGAGCGAGGGGGAAAATAGGGAGCGGGCGCATAGCTTACCCATCCTTCACGGGCTAACCGAACCAATGGTGAGGGCGCTAATAAATAGCCCGCAAACGTGCATGCGCATCCTATTGCTTCAGGGTAGAAAATATCCTAACCTGACTTAACCTAACCTATCCACGCCAAATCCCATTCTCACTTCTCACTTTGATCTCACTGTACATACCCACCCGCGCTGCGCCTCCATGCCATGTATGTGAGCGTGGATGCTTAAAAATCCTAACGATGATTGATTAATTGATTGAGAGTGAAGGATTTTGGTGCAATGGATTATGTATGAATGTATGGAAGGCTAGGTAGGGGGGGTGTTGATTAATGTGTTGGTATATTCCCTGGTCATATAGGCTTTCTTGAGGATTTTTTCCCTTCTTCTTTTTCTTCTCTTCTTTTGGTAATTTTGTACATGTGTATGTATGTATGTATGTATGCTTGATTAATTATTTGTTTGAGCAAACGATTATTTGAACTTATTGGATTTGGATTTGGATTCGAATTTGAATTTGAAAACGACAAATGCGACAAGTGTTCGCAGAATATTGGAAGATTATTAAGTGGATAGAAAGCGATAATGTTGGGTTGATATATGAATGGGATAATAGGAAGTGAGAAAGCTGGAAATGATTATATCGATTCAGAGATGGAGGGTCTTGGTGGTCTGGTGCGGGTTACTGGGCATGGCGTTTGGTGGTCACGACGGAAAGACGGACGGAAGGAAAATTGGGCAGGACAGCTATGGGTACAAGAGGAGCTCGTCGTTATCGCCGCAAATTAACACTTCTCGAGGTGCCGGTGATGAAGTTGAAGGGGCTTCATGGTATTATCCTACTACGTGGCCTTCTTTTGAAGAGAAGCGTACTGTGTCTTTGAATCAGAGCTATACGCCCCGTTTCGAAGTTGGATTGCAAGGACCACAAGACGCGAAATCTTTGGCTTTATGTTATACTACAAATTTCCAAGCACCAGAATCGGCCAACATATATTATGTTATACCCCTCACATGTAAGTAATTGACCAGAGAACATCCGTCTCTTCTAAGGCAGGTCTAATCAAAATTGCAGTCACTTGTCTAAAAAATGACCCCTCTTGTCAAATCGAAGTCCAGAAAACAGGAACGGCGAATTTAGAGGTCAATCTCTATAATACTAGTGGAGGCCTCTCTACCTTTACAAAGCCGAACTCGGCTTTCTTTCTGTGTTTCAACAATGGTAACGACACTGTTGCGGGCTTCACCTGCGAGTCTTACAGCCCGTACTTCCAGATATTACGTAGCCCCTCACTTGTCAATCAGAGACGAGAAGAGACAGCAGATTTGGTAGCAGCCGAATCGTCATCCATGTCAGCTTTCGCAAGCTCGTTTGTGGCAGCCATCACAAACTATGCAGCTCCAACGGCTCCGCTATCCGTCACAGCAAGCACGGCAATCTTTTTGCCTTCAGGAGGAACAGTGATATCAGCGTCAACAACTGCGCCCAATATACCCATTTCAACATCATATGCGTCGACTGTAACAACACCCATACTAACGCCAACTGGTACCGACGGCTCAGCTAGTGCAACTGGCACCTCTGATTCATTTAATTCTAGCTCCACCTCCTCGAATTCCAGCGGACTCTCCCTAGGCGCCAAAATTGGCATCGCCCTCGGCGCCATAATCTTCGTCTTCCTCCTCCTTCTAGCCCTCCTCCTCCTCCTCCGCCGCCGCCGCAAGAACCCCCCTAAAAACGCCTCCCGCACTCCCGAGAATCTTCTCCTCTCCTCCTCTCTCAAACACAACAATGACTCCAACTCCCTCTTCATCGCCGAAAAACTCGCTCTCACTGATCGCAGCGATACAAACACCCCTCTTACATCTCGCGGTGCCGGAATCCTCGGCGGAACATTCGATCACGATGATGATCTCCACCAAGATTTGCCTGCGCCCGGAAGTGCCTTTACAGCAAACACACCCGTACCCATCAGTCCGCGCCGCAGCCAAGCTGCCAACACGCTGCGAAGCGAAGTGATAGGAAGTCGCGCCGTGAGCATCGCTTCCGGGATCTCTCGGTCCGTATCCCCCGTAAACAGCAGTGCGGGGAACAATATCGTAGATCTCAGTCGAGAAAATAGTCGCGAACGTATCGGCGATAGGAGTATCTTTGATCAGGAACCGTATACGGATAATGTAGGCGCAGGCGCAAATAGTGGGGCAGTAGGTATGAATGGGGATAGAAATGGAAGTCGCACTAATTTAGACGTGCCGAAAGTATATAAAGGGGCGTTACAAGCACCTTTCCTCAGCGAACCGGGGATGTCAGCTGAGGAGGTAGCGAGGTTGGAGGAGGAAGAGAGGAGGATTGATGAGGCGATTGCGGAAGCGGAGGAGGAGAGGAGGAGGGCGAGAGAAGCGAGAGGGAGATAGATATTTATGGATTGTTTGAGTGGAAAGCTGGAAGTTTTGGAGTTTTCGGATCTTTTGCTGGTGGGTAGTTTACATATACACCGTGCTAATATAGTAGGTGTAAGATTGCGATATTGTGTATCGTGATGCTGGTATATCTTGTTATATACACTTATTTATTTACATATTTATAACTATTTGTAGTGCGATTCCATATATATATTTAATTGTTTATCGGGTTTTTGTTTTACTCATTATTTGTATATTGCGGAATGCATGAGTGTCTTTATTATATAACTGTTACACATGTAAGATCTTACATATACGTAATTAGATTTCATTCAACATTCAAGGTAGACTCCCTAATCGTTTACTTCATTCTTTGACTCACTCTAGGACATTCTTTAATCTACTCACAGGGTGTTGAAACTAAGCTATACCCAAGCGGACATGATTACTGAATACTATCATAGCTCCGTCTACGTCTAGCCGACAGACAAACTCTTTATAGACGAAGAAACCGAGAAGGAGAAAAAGAAAAAAGAAAAAAGAAAGAAGAGGAGAAGCCGTTACAAAACTGAATAGGGCGATGTAGATAGAACAGAAAAAGTTTCAGAAGGGAATACTATACACAGGAACAAATCACCGCTACGGCTAGTGACTTGATGAAGTTACTCCAGGGTGGCAAAGTGAGTTCGGTCCAGCTTGTGGATTTATACCTCAGCCAAATTGAGAGACACAATAATTGAAGCCTAAAATTGAATGCAATGATAAGCACAGCACCCAAGAAAATTCTACTCGATATCGCAAAATTTTTTGATGATGAGCGTGCTGCTGGGCATATCAGAGGCCCCCTCCATGGCATTCCAGTTACTGTGAAGGTAAGCTACCCAACCATAGCAAAGGAATCCATCTAAACAATTTTTTAGGACAACATTTGTACTGATGTGTCTCTGGGAATGGATACTACTTGTGGCTCATATGCTTTGGTTGGTTCTGTTCCCCAGCATAATGCTCCTATCGTCGATCACGTAGGTGAAGTCCTAGCTCCATGCGTTGAACGACGTGCTAAAATGTCGTCTAGATTTTGAAAGCGGGTATGATTGTTATAGGAAAGGCAAACTTATTGGTAGGTGCATTTGCATCTCTGTTCGCGTAGCTACTAATCACTGCGGTCATAGGAAACGAGTGGCTGGAAAGGTTTTGGCATAACGACAGGATGGTCAGCCTTATGAGGACAAACCCAGTCACCGTATATTGTTAAAGAGCTTATTAAAGTAGAAAAACTACTCAAACAAACTGTTAATATCAACAAAACATTTCACACTCAAAGATCTAAATGAACTAACTCCTCTGAAGGCTCCAGCAGGATCATCATCGGGAAGTGCTTCTGGTGTTGCAGCCGGCTTTGCACCACTAGCAATCGCAACCGAGACAGATGGATCGATCACGCAGCCTGCGAACCGTGCAGCACTATTCGGTATAAAGGTAACCGTGGGTCGTGCATCAACCGAAGGTACAGCTCCTTGGTCTGCATTAACAGACAGTGTCGGTGGTATGGCGAAGTCGGCACAAGACTTGGCATACCTGGTAGATATCATCCTTGGCACAAACACCACTCCAGCTTTGAACACAAGTTGAAAAGGTCAAACTGTTGGCTTTGTGGATGATATATTCTGGGGGTTCTCTGAATTTGTTTGCATCCCAGATCCTGTGCTCATTACCCAACAACGCGAAGCTTACATGGATACCAAGAAAAAGCTCATTGAACACGGAACGACATTGCATGAAAATGTTCCTATGACTTCTGTGGATGAGCTTCAACTCGATGGTGATGATGCTCTCGATCAACTATGGAGTAAATTGTACCCTTTTTGCGTGTCAATAATCATATTTTGATCTCATACAGACCATGATTTTGCGAAAGCGTGGGAGAAGTTCTTGAAGAACTTTCCCAGCAGTTCGATGAAAAGCATTGCAGACATAATGAAATTCAACAAGCTAAACGCAAAGTTTGCCCTGCCGGCTGGTAAGTGAATTTGTGATCCATTCTGTTTGCAACATAACTGATTGTTGTGAAGAACATCCAGGCCAGCAACTGTTGGAAAGTGCATTGGAAGACAAAATGTCTGAGGAAAAATATGCTGAAGGAGTATCGCTGATAAGTGAGTCAGCCAAAACGAATGGAATTGATAAGACAATACATCAATTTGGTCTTGATGTAGTTATTGAATCCATGGATGGTCGCATGCCTACTGTTGCCGCCGCCGCAGGATATCCTGTAGGAACTGTTCCCTTAGGCTACTCTCAGACAGATGGACGTCTATTTGGGCTTGCTATTGTTGCTATGGCTAATGAAGAGCACAAAATGTTGCAATTCATGACTGCATGGGATGAACTAACGCCATCACGTTTACCCCCTCTCCAACTAATGAATTGGAATTGTCCTAAGTGATCTAACATCTTAGCTTAGCCACCAAGCCAGGATGCAAATTCCCTGAGAGAAACCCCCCGAAAGTTGTGATCGTTAGGAGAGGATAGATCTGGTATGGTTGATGTAGGTTAGTGGAGACGAGTTTAGCCATCTACTACTAGAGAATACCTATCTGCATAACAATGTACATCTAGAGACTTGAGGCAGTAGAAAATGAAAGTCTTTCGCCGGAAAGATTCGAATGAAAAGTCATCAGCCAATGGCAAACACGGGTCTGAACTGCTTGTCCTATCATTCAGGTTCCTGGCCCTTCCACTTTTCCCTCATAGCTTCAACATCAAAGCCGCATAATTCTGCTCTCCTAACTACCTCTCTTGCCTTTCCTGTAACTGGCGCATCAATCATTTTGTTGTCCAATGTCCATGCTCCTTTCCCCTTCTTCTCCGCCTTTTCATCCGCAATGACCACTCGTACACTCCACTCGACTTCTTTCTCTCCCGGTGCAAATGCTTTTTGAACAATATCCACTTGGGAAGGATGTATACATTGTTTTCCATTGAACCCTAAACCCTTTCCCTGAAGAGATTCTTCTTCCAAACGAGCTAGTCCCTCACTTCCCCTATATGATGTACACACTAAATCAATGGTCGATGGGATATCAAATGCTCGTGCACATGTTGCTATGTGACTTCTCGCGTATAGAAATTCGTCAAGACTAGGCGTTCTTGTAATGCTTAAATCCAAAGAGAAATCCTCCGCGGCGAATATTAGGCCATGTAGGTAGGGAGATGCTTGACAGATTGATGAGAGATTTATGAGAGATTGTGCGGATTCTATGAGAGCGAGTATCTTGACTGGGTTGGAAGAAGACGATGGAGTAGATGGATGTCGTGAGGGAAGAGTATGACGAAGAATATCATTTATGAAGTGGAGATCGGAAGCCGAGTTTACTTTGGGTACTACGAGAGTGTCAAGGTGTTGACTCTTGAGGACTTGAGTGAGATCTTGTAGAGCGAGGCCTGATGAAACGGAATTGATTCGTACAGCCAATCTATAGCGATAGTGGAATCAGCACATATACTTCCATCTTCCGGAGAACAAAAAGACTCATCAGATACAAAATACATACTCTCCTACATCTTTCGGTCTGTTACCCTTGAGAAAATCCACAATATTTTTCCTTGCCATCTCCTTATTCCCCAATGTCACCGAATCTTCCAGATCATACGCAACAGTATCAACCTTCAGCCCTCGGGATTTCTCTAAAAACTTGGGTGAAGATGAGGGCACTTGTTCGTAGGTTAGCTACCCATGAGGGAGCTTCCATGCATGGTGATCAGATGGATAGCATACCATAGAGGAGAGCCCTTCGGAGGACAGAAGCTGCTGCATTTCGCGACATTGCTATTTTGAAGAATAGAGATCAATTGAAGGTTGAAACAAGTTGACGAGCTTCAAAATCCCAAAGACTTTCGAGTGCTGATGGAACTTCAATTGATGTTGCGCTTCGGGAGCTTACCCCACAATATACCACTTACTAGCCTTGCTCACCTGGCCATTTACAGAAATGCATTACATGCCCACCTACCTTATTAGTATCTCGGTAAAATAGGGTATATATACGAGCTCTATCATTTATCTTACTTTAGAAATATACAATACCAAGAGATGAATAATTTTGGAACAATGGAGACAAGTAAAATTAATCGTACCTTGTTGAAGATTAGAGACAGTATCATTCAGCTGTTCGGACGTGATCTGCCAATGCACAGGGACCCTTAGCGCCATGTAGCTAAAGCCTATCAGTAGACGCTAACACAATCAATATCTTATCCATCCCGATCCGAGCTTCATCTTCCTTCACATACAAGTTGCTCAACTACAAATACAATATTCAACACACCAAATTGCTGGGCCCATCAACCCTCCAAACACCAATCATGACATCTCCAATTCCAAACCCAGACCCAATACCGTTATTTCGACCTTCCAAAAAGCGCAAGATCTATAGACAGCGAAATCAAGATGATCATGATGAGATAAAATCCGAAATCTCCACAAACACGCCCGCGCCAACGGCAGCAGCTATACCCACAGAACAAAGTTTAGATGAACTCATTGCTTCGGGTTCCATTCCTATCAAAAAAGAGGGGGGAGATGAAGAAGGTGGAATGGAAGATACGCCCCTAAATATATCAGAAATTCTACGTCTGCGAAAACAACGAAAGAAAATTGGAGGGGTGGAGTTCAAAGCCGAATCTAAAATTCGAGATGGGAATGACGATGAAGGAGATGGAGATGCGCTGGTGAAATATGAGGATAAGGATACAGAGGAAACACAACCTGAAGGTGGACTTTCAATGCGACGATTTGCGCCGCAGATGGGAGTAGTGGGGAGTGGTGTTGATAAACATATGTAAGTACATTTCGTATTCTTCCCGAGAGAGAACTGCTTGGGTGTAAGTGCGGTGACTAATAGTATAGGATGGCATATATAGAATCGAAACTCGGACATACATCTCAATCCGCTGATTCTCCATTCACAAACCCTCAAGCAGTAACTCCAAAGAATGAGACTTCTACAACTCAATCTAAAGAATCTCAAAGAGCACCTACTACAATGGGTCAAATTCTCGAAATCGATCTAGGAGAAGAATCAAGAGCAAGAAATGCATATCGAACAGAAATAGCTCGCAGAAAAGCAGCAGGTGAAGTCATCGAACTCGAAGAATCTACACAAGCTCTCCCCAAGCCTCGTCTTGGCCGCGATGGTAAACCCTGGCGTGGTCGCAAAAGAAGAGGAAGCGATGATATTCAACGCGATGCCCTCGTAGATGCTATTCTTCATGAAAATCGTCTCGATATCTACGAGCCCGTACCTTCGAGTAAGGAAATGAATCACACGGCAGGATTGGCCAATGATGAAATGGTCGCAGAATCATTCCGCAAGGATTGGGAAGAAGCTAGTTCTCATGCATCTTTGCAGAGACAGCAACAGATGTCTGAAAAAGCGGCGAAGGATAAGAAGAAAGGGGCTCAGGATAAGACGGAGGAGGAATTGTATATGAAAGGACCGAAGTTAGGTGGAAGTAGGAGTGCTAGAGCTGCGATGAGGGAATCGATGTTGAAAGGGAAGGCGGTAAAGAGGTAGTGATAGATGAAGGGATATATCGACTTAGAAACTGATGAGAAGAGCTTATCAGTGGGTTACAGTCATTACTTCGCAGGGTGCGAAAAGGAAAGGGAAAATGGAAGAGGAAAATAACTTGAGGTACATTCCCGTAAAGGTCACGAATTTGCAAGTGCATCCGTCTTTTTGATTAGCTTGCTTGATATTTCAAGGTTCCTATCTCTATTCACAATACTATAGTCTCCAGTCTCCTGAGTTTATTTATACAAAGAATAATCAAACTCACCACCTTTCCCTTCTTGAAAAATCATACAAATGCAATTTCAAAGATCGAGGGTCTTTAATTTATCAAACTAAAGAACAAGAGAAAACCCTACTCGCGATATTTAGATTGATATAGATATATTTCCTACATATCCAACCATCATAATCTTATAATCAATCGAGTCTTTGCTCAGCACCTTCCCATCCCTTCTTCTCGGTCTCGGGGATGGATGGATAGCTAGATATTAGATACTAGGTACCTCCAGCTAGATAGTTAACAAGTATATAGTTGATTCACTCAAATAATTCAATCGCAATCGCAATCGCAATCGTGATCACAGTCATCAATCATCCAATAGCATCGCAATAGCATCGCATCGCGTATTTAAGGGGTGGGAATGGAGGGAAGGTGCAGAGAGATTCATGAATAGATATATTAATTTATTACCCAGATAGGTAGGTACTTCTGTACTCTGGGTGGGTATCGGAGGTTAGTTGATAGTGTAGTTGATATGAATAAATAAATAAATAAACCCATCTTTCAAAACTCAAACCTATCAGAGAGAAATTGATGGTGATGAGCTTAGTCCTATGTATAGGTACCTACCTAAATATCTACATACCTAACTAGTAAGATATCCCGATCGCGCAGTCTGATATTTGGGAGTATATGTGGTAAGAAGATAGATACCTAGTAGGTAGATAGATATATACGCCATCAATCTCGATTTCCAAGATAAACAGAAACCGAATCAGTAATATTCCTGCACAGCTATTTCCAACTCGACAACTGAGATCTGATAAGACGAGATGTAATGACATCAAATGAGTATAAATGAGTACCTATATGAAACTCTTTATTTTATTCCCGGGTATTCAATACCTAGGTACCTATCTATATACTAGCTAGCTACTTGTGTATGCTATACCGACTAAATTAACCCAATCCAAATAATGGTATAAAAGAAACTATAATTAAATACAAAAATGTATACGTCAGGAGATGAAACGCCGTGTATCCTAGTGCCTCATAGCGATAGCATGGCTATGGGAGTTATTACTGTCAATGACCCAATCGTGAATATATTTATTCCCCGGTTGCAATTCCATACCCAAGTTTTCCATGTAAATTCCCTTAGCCGAGATATTCATTAGTAAATCCATCTCGCCGTGATTAATCGCACCCCAAATCAACACACTTCCCTAATATCTTTCGTCCCAATTTCCTGTAACCTCTCATCACAGTTATCATTACCACCACCCTCCCCATCCACCCTCTCAATCCTGACTCCCATCCCAAAAACATCACCTCCATGCACCAACCTCACGGCCTCTCCACTCCCCAACACTAAAACCTCTGTACCCATACCCTTCTTCTCATTAAATTTCTCACTCCTTGGCGACACCACAGTCTCCACATCTTCCTTCTCCCACTTCTCACTCTTCAGACTCCACGTCGCCATCCCAGTGCTCGTCTTATCGCCATCGTGGGCGGAAATCCACGTTTTGGCGCAGAGATTTTGCGCAATCGATACGCCGCCGGGGAAGCCGGATATGATGTTTCCGCCCAGGTACCAAGGGTTTGAGATACGATCGAAGGGGTGGAGAAGAGATGTGAGAGGGAGAGCCGCTTCCGAGACGAGATGCGAGGATGCGTAGGGAGCGAGGGTGTTGTATGTACAGCCGTGCGGAGAGAAGATGACAGAGAGCGCGCGCTCGTTAGGGCTAGAGAGGGTAGAGGCGATGGAGTTGGGTGAAGAGGGTGGTGTAGCGTATGCGTTTTCATCTTGATGGGAGAAGGATTTTGAGAGGGTGGGTGGTCGATATGTTATCCCAATTGCATTGTGCAGTCCTGTAAGATCGTTCTTTTGAGGGAGAAATGCAATAGTCACTTCGCCCGCGACCCCATTGTGAGATAGGGGAGGTACGGGAAATCGAAGGATACTGTCAGGGCGACGCAGACGAGAATCTTCCCAGCGTTTAAGAGGGATGACTTTCGAGGGAGAGAAATATTTCCACCGTTTGATCGTCTTTGCGGCTCCGGGTTCTGCAAGGATTAATGTCTTGCTTCCATCTGGAGAGAGTTGTTTGAGAGTTTCTTCGTGACAGTGATCGGTTTTATCTTGACTTATTATCACCAGATCTGGTTCTGGGAGTTCGGTGAGAGAAGATATGCATGAGGGTGAATTGAGATGAGATATTGAGAATTTGTGGTGGAAGATTTTAGAAGGACCGGATATCCATGGATCGAGGAGGATAGTAAAGGAGCTTTCATGTCGTCCAGGTCCGCCTGGAGATGGAGGAAAGGGGGAGATGGGCGAGAAGGTCAGGAGGAATGATGCATCATTGTTTAGATGCTTAACTGTCAAGGACATCTTCAAATCGAGATATGAGAAGATCGAGAAAGTCTGTAAAACTCATAGTATCCAAAAAGTAAAAGTGAGGGTGAGGCCAAAAGGAGAAAGGAGGACGGCAAGGAGATATAGATTGACTCTGATTGTAGGAGTAGATGGGTAGTAAAGATTTTTCTGACATGGAAGCAAGGTGGTGAATCAATGAATCAAGTTGAATTTGACAAGTGAGTCCACATACTCGTCGAAACACGGGCACTGGATGACATATTTAAAAGGGTATGGAAGAAGATCCAATGCGGGATGATGTGGAAGAAGTTGTTTATAGAAGCAAAGATTCAAAGCGGCACACTGCCTAGTAACTCATCAAAATCCCCGTTTGTTAGATGAAAATGGAAAGGTTACCCGACAGAGAGAAATTATTGTACGAAGTACTTGGATCTATTGAACGCCTATCATTTTGACCGAACAATACCCTTATTTGGGAGAGGAGAGTTTTCCGAGTAGATGACCATACCTGAGTTGCTCTTTGCGAAAACATACTATATGTATATGATATATCATTGACCTTGTATATCTTCAATGAAAGCTCATACTTCATACCTCTGTACCATTTCGTCGAGCTTCGATGTCAATCAATATCTCGAAAGTGGATCATTCTACGGAAGTACCGTACGGTTATAATTAACCATTTGAAATATAAGCACCTTCATTTCTCCAAATGGTTAATGATAAACCTGCTTCGGGGACGTCGATCATTTTTCAAGCAGGATTTGACGAAGAAGCTTTCAGCTGTGGTGGTGAAAATTGGTAAAAGTGGTTCCTCTTTCCTTGTTTCAATAATTGGATTGCCGTGTAGTGGATTTGATTGGTGGGGAGAGAGATGAAAGATCGATTGAAGGAACGATACGCGAGCTTTGAAGCTGGAATGTTTTCGTGAATACGTATGTATACGCACACTAGAAGACTAGCATATGTATATGTACGATGGTTGGAAGGGTAAGTAATGTAAACCCCACTTTTACTAAAATCTTGTTGTTTTTATAGATTTTGCTGTTGCTTTAAGCGATTCGAATAGATATTGAACTGTTCCCTTCAAAATTCAATCTTTGAAGCTTTTACTTGCTTTTTATCAATTCTAATAGTTTTTTAGTATTTGAAGCATTTGAAGATTTCTATAAGTTCTAAATAGGTTTAGGATAAGGATTCGAATTTAAAATCTAATCGAAATCATTAATTTCAATAAAAAAGTAAATAATTTTGAATAAAATGTGACTTTTACAATACTTCCACCACCTAGAATTCACTATATAAATTTTCAACCAGCGTAACAATATGATTGGCTAAAGCCTCTAAATATGGAGAAAAGCATGGTCGCTTTTTGGTGGGTTTTATATTACTTACCCATCCAACCATCGTATAGGTATGTATATGTATATGTACGAAGTAGGTTCCGAATTCCAACGAGTATCTCATAAACTTTCCATATCAATCCAGACTTTCGAGCTGCTATCATTAGATACCTACCTAGGTCTACAATGTACCAGCCTCATTGTGAAGATACAAGTCTTAACAGGTTAGAAAATCATAGCCTCAGCCAAAAAACACTGCAAGCCTCACTTATATGATCGACAGGATAGTTAAGAAAATCATCAACGCGAATGAATGTTAAGTTAGTATTATCTTGATGGAATGTTTTGGTGTTTACGCTATTTCTCTACGACAAACCATATTATGAATCATCACTCCCATTCATGAGAATAGAATGTCATGTCAATGTCGGATCTTATATGATGCGAAGGAATGTGAAGATGGGAATGGAGGGGGAGTACATGTACGAGAACGAGATTTGATAAAGTTCAATTCTAGAGAGTGGAAGGGTATTCGTGCAAATCGGCAAGTGGTTCAATTATGATAGGTATTTATAGATTTGATAGGCTTCATGAATCATCATGGGGCAAGCCCCCAAACCCCCATAGCTCGCTGCGCTCGAAGATTTTTACAGTGGAATATTCTCTATCTAATTAGTCGGCCTCCACGGCAGTGGCTCCCAGGGGGCCAGCGGAGCGTCATTTACTACTGTTATCATACTCTGTATAAAGAGATCGAATGGTAAACATTCAGAACAGGTGAAGGAGCGAAGTTGTCGTTAGCACTAGGTATACCCTCGTCTTGTTTCCTATATAAATTTGTGTTTCTCCTTCACTTCATTAACAGAAGAAGTATCGTTCTCCAAGTTCTATCGATCTCTGCTTGAATATACTTTTCAGGGCATCTACCTCATCAATTTGCTATAGACATACCTAGTACTCTCTAAGTACATGCGACACACTCTGTGAACACTACAACACGACGAAGAAAAAGCATCAAGGATATCCCAATGGCAATTCATCTCGGATTCACAAATTACCATTAATTAACAATATAACTCGAAATCTCGAACAGACCTTCTCGGACTGGCCGTTAAGAAAGCTTCGAATAGACCTTCTCGAACTTTACCCCAACTTTACTAGCAGGATGAAAAACCAATGCAACGGTTTCGACGATTCATGGATCCAATATGCAAGTGAACTGTTGAATCGAACTACCTAGCATTAAGCTACACAAGAGCTCAAAACTCGTACATTCCAATCTCCTCCAACTCACTGCACTAATCACAAGGACCTTGGAGAGCTTAAGTTTCTGAACCGACTCTGCTCCTTAATTATTATCGTCGAATTGTGAAGACCTAGCTTCACAATTGACTCATGAATCTCCTGCTAATTAATCAAAACGGCGTTGGTTCATGTTTGAAAAGTATTGGCAGAAATCTCCTTTGCACCAAGTCTTAGGCCTTTTTAACTTGATCATCCCTTCAAAGCAAGCGGCGGCCAATCAATACAATAAGACTGCAATACTCGTACGAAATGGTACAAATACAAATACTTTGTTACAAAGATATGCAAGCAGCTATCAAATCTTCACATGTGAAAGAATCATCAAAGCATCAATTACTCGTAGAGTGGAACAAATCATTTTCAAATCCTTTCGTGTTACCGTCGGCGAATTGTCTTTCTAGAAAGGAGCTTGCGAAGCAGATTAAGCTTGTTGGGGTTGTATTCGCATGCTCAATGCACCTCCGAGTCAAGATTGGGTAAGCTTAGGTAGGTGTGCTATGCTATGTCCTGTACCCAGGGTTCTCCAGTTTCCGAGTGTTGCTTTGAGAGCTTCCAAAAGGGTATAGGACAATGCAACGATTGATAAGAGATAAAAGATAAAAGATAAAAGAAAATCCAAAGAAAAAGAGCTCTTATCGAATTTTTCCAATTGGGATTCCATTATCGTGATTCGTGATGCCATCGAAGTAACATAATCATCTTGTATGGTTTCCCCTTCCCAGCTCTCCATTCGGAAGGACTAATCCAACAAAATCTTTTTTTCGGCAGATCAGCAGATCAAGTCACTTTGTCACTTTGGATCCTCGACTTCTTACTTGTCAATTGCTTCCTAGGGATTGGGCTGGAGAGACCAGAAATGCTCCATCCACGAGTATGCCACGGGAGTCTGATTGGAGGAAGGCGAGATGCGGTACTTCGTTTGGAAAGCTCCTCTCCACCGATAGTCCAATTATTATTATTCAATGGATGGCATTGGTCGCATGAACATCGTGCCCAACGACTCACGAGGCACCTGCGTATGTATGAGGTATGTGACCTGACTAGCTATGGAAAGGGTAGCTTTTCAAGGTCCGATATTTGGCCTTTTGCCTGCTTTTGCCGCTGATATACATAGAGAGAGAGAGAGAGAGTAGTGGAGTGGGTGGCACTGGCATGAGATGTTATTTCACTTTGAGACCATGACTAATTTAACGTGAGAGGGAGGGTTGGTGAGATTGATGAATGGGAGAGCTGGTTTGCATGGTTTGCCTGCCATATTTCCTTGGGATGTTGTGTTTGTTCGATTTCTCTGGTTCTTGAAATCAAGATGACAAGGTATGTATGTATAGGTAGCTATAGCAATAGTAGCAAAGCCATAGCAAGTAGTGCAGTACTCAAACAAGATCGAATCCTAACTAAAACAAGATCGAAGACTAAAGGATTTGCTTGAAAGGGAGGACTGGAGACAAGGAGACAAGCAGAGTAAGCTCGGTTCATAGCAATACTTCCGAGTACTTAGCTAGGTAGTATTACCTATCTAGTCCGAGTATATCTCCATCTCTCCATGTTAGACCTTAGAAGCTCTCCACTGATGCTGCTCCAAAGCTCCAGATCCATCCCTTTTCATTGGCTCTTGAGCATCTAGTAAAGACATGTAAAGTTCCAAAGATACCCAGTATGTACAAGCATGGATAGAAAAGAGGGAAAGAAAAAAAAAAAGAGGAAAAAAGCTCTTATCCGAAGCTCTTCTCTTGACTCTGACCCCCACTAGTAAAAAAGAGCAAAGAGCAAGCAAAGAGCTTCCTTCTAATAGTTATCTAAGTTTTAAGTTTCGAGTTCCAACTGCTGCTCTTCCTTCCTTCGAATCCACCCAAGGGACCCAAGGGGAAAAAAGACCCCTCAGTCAAAAGATTCCTTCAGTGCCACACTCACACTACCACTATTACTACTATTACTACTATTACCACTACTTACATACTACTTACTACTCACTACTCACTTACTACTTACTCACTTACTACTTACTCACTTACTACTTACTCACTTACTCTCACACTCACTCTCACACTCACTCTCACTCTCACACATTCTTTCTCAAACATCAATTGTAAGAAATCATTTGCCAAAAAAAACATAGCTTTGAGCTTCAATCTTTCTTATATCTTTGTTCCCTTGAAAGAATCACATCAAGAGACAGAACCAGCACCACAACCAAAAAAAAAAAAAAATTAACCCTCACATATCATTTTGATTAAATAATTATGCAAAATTTTGCTATCAAGATTATACATTTTTAGAGATTCCCGCTTTCCCCCTCCCCCTCCAGATACGAAACAACAGTGCGACGATTCTGTCTGTACCTATCTATCTACCTATCTTATCTACCGACCTACCTATCTTCCTACCTACCCATTAACCCATTACCACCCATTATCGATTTTGATCTGGTAATGATCGAGTCTACATTGACGATGCCTCCTCGTTCTTCGTTGACATCGTCCTTTTCCGTTTCAGATGCGAATAATGAAGTGGTTTGTCCATTGAGAAATCAAGATGGCTCCAGTTGTCGCAAACGTTGCCTCGGCGTGAGTGCCTCTACTCTGCTGTATCTGCTGTACCCCTTTGGAACTTACTTTCCTTTTGTACGGTTCAATCCGTGGTAACAAGCGAGTGAGATGGACAGGAAAAACGATATCGATCCATGCAAGAGCACATTAGAAGAGCTCATCCAGAACATTACATCTCAAAGCTTCCTGCGACCGAAGAAAGCTTTCAACTCATGATCAATACCCCGCCCTCTGAGCGTCCGCAACCACAACCACAACCACAACCACCAACAACTGCCAACTCGGCTCCAACTTCAAATAGTCTGTAGAAATTCAATTGCCAATCATGGCTTGCATCTTGACTGATATGCTGTATACAGGTTTCACACACGAAAGACAGAACTATTATGGCGAACATTCGAATCATTCGAGTACCCCGAATACTCCCAGAATCGTGGACGATAGTTCAATGCTTCCAGCCGCTAGCGCTGCAGCAACTCTAGCACAGCTACACAATCATAAATTGGATAATGAATGGGAATCCGAAGTGGTAGGTTCATTTTCTCGCTCGACTTTCCAATTACAAAGGATGCAAAATGTTAACTGGATTCAATTAGGATTGGATGTCAGATCACGAAGCTCATAAACAAGCAATGCGAGCCTCGATAGAGCTTCCTCCTATTCATTCCAACAAACTCGAACCAACTAGCGATCCATTTTCACATTACAATGTTCACCGTCGCAGAGACCTTCTTCCTTCTATACTATCGCCCCCAGGACGATCGTCTACTCTTCCTCCACTTCAAAGAAATCCAAGCACAGGTCGTCCTCGAAAACAATCAGTGTCAAAGCGTGCTCGAGAGCCACAACATAGGAGGCAAAAGTCTCGTGGGGAACATACTCATCTGCGACGCTTAAGTCATGATCGTAAGGCTCAATCTGCCGAACCTTCAAGTGCCTTTTATGGCAAGCGATGGGAAGATTTGATTGATGCTGCAACATCAGCTACAGAAGATGTAGACGATGATAGAACACCGGTTTGTCCCATGTGCAAATACAAAGGTCTTCCTTGTATACTAATGGAAATGCAGATTCCTCCATCCCCGGTTTCAGTAAATCGTGCTTCATTGCCTCCATTTTCCGCATCACAATTTCAAGGATATCAGGCTTCGCCACTACAACAAGCACTCACTCCACCATCTTATCATGCTGAAGCTCCAGAACCTTTTCCATCAGTTGAAAGTGGTGGAAGTGGTGATCATTTCAATATTGGATCACAGGGGCTCTCGGATTCATCGCCAAGCTTCTCTACAATAAATATACAAATTTACTGTGCTGCTTGTCAGAACGTTTCTTTCCTGAAAGAATCTTACGCATGTACAGAATGCATATGTGGTATATGCCAACCGTGTGTCGAGGTGCTCATGGCGGAGCAGGGAGCACGTAGAAAATGTCCAAGATGCGCCACCATTGGGGGACGATTTAAACCTTTTCAATTGGATATTCGTTAAGTCATTTGATGGAAACATTGGGTCTGATCAAATTGGTAAGAAAGGAGTTGGTCATTACGGGTCATCATAGACTGGATTGGAATTTTTGGAAGAGGGTATAGGCGTTTTGATTATTCCCAGGGTATCGAGGGTTACAAGACCACTCTTGTTATGATTTTGGGTATAGGTCGCATTTCGAAGTTGTCTTTTGGCATTTCGTACAAACGTGTTTAATTTTGAGGCATGCATTTGTTGGGCTGATGTTTATAGTCGTATCCAAAGAAAGATTTTCTCATTCAATATCTTGGACAGCTATTGGGAATTTGGCACCCATCACTTCGACCATACGTACAATTGGTGAGTCTTGATCGAGCTACTGGATGATTTCTACCAACAGTCTTTTTTCTTGTTGAACTCGAACTCGAAGCTTATGGGGAAGTGTCAATCACCGTTGGCTATCACCAATTTACACAATTGGTAAGTTTTGTACCATAGTGGTGGCTCATGTCAGCTACTGTCTTCTCAGCAAGTTTCGGAATCTTTTGATGAGACTAGCAAATTATTGTTACGGGTGAAATAATCAGTTGTTCAGCGCAAAACACGTAAAGATTGACATTGGGGGTTACTTTACGATTATAACTCCAAGCCATGAAAAGCCCGATTACGACCCCAAATATTGAAAACCGAGCATGAGCTGAGGCTCAGCGGTATTGTTGAAGAAATGGTGTAGAAACAGTGTCTACATTTGGTGATGGTCTCCGACAAGGCTGTTCAAGACAAACAGCTGAACTGGATGATTGACCAATTGAAGTTGACCAAACTGGAAAAGCTGTACGACGATGATGCACGGGACAATTATCTGAGATGGTGATAGGGATCGTGATTGGTAGCTGACGTGAGGCATTCCCGCGTCTATGTAGGGGAGGTGGGTAAGGCCCGAAGATAGCTGACCTATTTGCTCGGTTTTGACCTGATCTGATGTGAGTTTGGGGGGAGGGGTTAGTAGGGACATTTTCAATAACGGCGTAACAACTTTTGACAGACGAGGGAGGGATTACTTGAAGATTATTTATACGCATTGATTTTCCCTGTGTTTTGTTTCCGAGAATGTTTTCCTTCATTGCTCTCTTCATTCTTGTAGAACCAACCTTTTTTCTTGTTCTACATTGAGAAACTTTCTTCAAATACACCTGGCGCTTAAATCTGCAATCCAACAACTACCCCACCGGCTATTCACAATTGCCCATCTCGCATATCTCGCATCTGCCCCCTGCATATCATACTAAGTATATAGTATATAGAAGATCGAGGTCACACTCACTCTCACTATAACGAGTTACAATGGTCTCTCATTATTTTGAAAGTCTCCCCGTCCCTCCTCTAGAGAATCTCACCACAGAATACATACTTCAAGAAATTATCGACCACATTGGAAAACTCGCCGATGATTTCCCACACACCAAACTCAATTTATTTCGCAAACAACTCTGGGATATTAGAAATCGGAATGTGGAGCCCAAAACACACTTGCGAGGTTTGCTGAGAGTGCTGGAGAATACGCACACATTTAAACATGCATTTGAGGAACTAGAACCGGGGTTGCAAGCGCAGATTCGAGTGTTTATGGATGATGAAAAGGATGTGAAGGAGGAGGAGATTATGGGGATGGGGAAAGTCAAAGGGGAGTTTTATATTCCGCCGTCTCCGGCGGTGAAACATCATTTTAAGGAGATGGTTAAGGAGACGGTGAGGGAGAAGGCTCATGAGAAGAAGATGAAATTGGTGCAGAGTAAAGTGATGAAGAAGATCCAGGAAGCGAAAGAGGAGATTGAGAGGGAGATTGTGGAGGAGGTGGGCGGACATATTGAAATGATTCAGAAGGTTGAGGATCATGTGGGAGAGCTTTGGGGGAGGCATGGTCACTTGGGTGCGTTGCTCAAGAGTAATCCTGTGGCTTCTTTGACGGAGAAGTGGGATGCTTCGATGCTGGGAAGTGGACAATCGCCAAGGATCTGGGAGGATGAGAGAGGCGCGCGGATTATGGAAGTCCATAAAAATGCCCCGTTTCATAATTGGGGGAATAGTGTGAAGAATACGCCGCTTTATACTTTTGTCCCTACGACGGTGCTGGGTCTGTCGAATCTGGTCAAGTGGGCGAAAGTCGAGGGCTATAGAGTTAGATGTAGTGGGTACAGACATTCGTGGAGTAATACTTTCTCGCAGGATAAACAGATTCTGGTCAGTATGTTGAATTTGGAGAGTGTGGAGAAAATTCCAGATGTCATGAGTATTACGGAGGAGAAAGGAGATGTGGATTTGAATGGAGATGGAGTGGTGGATGTCAATGAGTTGAAGACGATTGAGTTGGCGCCGAAAATTGAGGGGTTGAGTTTGACGGGGGATGAAGAGGGGAAAATGTTTTGTCGAGTTGGAGCGGCGGTGACGAATGAACAGTTTAGGAGGTGGGCGGTGGGTCATGGGAAATGGGCGTTGCCGGTGGATGTTATTCTTGTTGAGTATGTTTGCGTTCCTGTTTCTGTAACATACAACTCCTCGCCTGCAGCTGCACTCGCGAAAGCCAATATATACTAACACAAACAGAGTCACAGCAGGCGGCGTCAACGGACCCATTTGTCACGGTGCGGGTCGTCGTCATCAAACAGTATCCGACTACGTTCGCGCCATCGAATACATCGACGCAAACGGTATCCACCGCACCATAACAAAACCCGCTCACCTCCGCGCCGCCGCCGGTTGTTTCGGACTCCTCGGTATCGTAACCCACATCACGCTCCTCCTCTCCCCCATGACGTACGCCATTCTGCGTCCCACCAAACCCGACATTGCACTTGCCATTCCCCCTCTCTCTCCCACCGATATCCCCATCGCGCTGCGCAAATCCTGGACCCCGGCCCAGTACGCCGACGCGCTAAGGGAGTTTGAAGATAAAGCCAATAATGACTATTACAGTGAATGGTTTTGGTTTACGCGCAGTCAGCAGGCGTGGGTTAATACGTGGAATGAGACGGTGGATGCGGAGGGTGCAGTCGAGTATCCGAGCCCGTTTGATACGTTTGTGCAGTGGGTTCAGGGCTGGGTGGGCAGTGTGTTGACGAGGAGTGAGGTGTTTGGTTTGTTGCCTGGGAGGTGGCAGGCTTGTATTTTGAGTACTTTTGGGAGTGAGTTTTTACTTTTTTTATTACTTTTTTTTGGTTTGATCTTTAAGTTTGTGTGAGAAGGGAGGAGTTGAGAGTTAAGAAAGAAAGGAGAGAAAGGAGATGAATATCTCGAGCAAAAAGAAGAGAAAAAAGTATATTTCTAACCCGCAATAATAGTGGTCGCACTCCCCCCCTTCGAATTCAACGAATTCGAACAAAAGAAAACAGTCGAATACAAAACCGCACTTCCTAACGGTCTCCATTTCCGTCGCGGCGTAAGTTTCTTCCTTCTTTCCTCTGCCTCTTTCCTCGGCCTCTTTCTCCACCCCAAACTAACATCCCTCCCAGATCCAAAACATGCGCGTCCGGGACCTTGAGTTCCAAATCCCCATTCCCTGTCTCCCCAACGCCACTCCCGATTACACCATCGTCCGCCGGGCGTGGTGGGACATTATCAATCTCTGCTATCGCGATTCGGAGACGCCGATGCGGCTCACGCTCGAGCTCCGGATTATGGGGGATTCGAATTTGATTATGGCGCCGCAGAGAGGAAATCGCTGGGGGACGGCGAGTATTGAGATTCTGAGCGTGCCGGATGCGGTGCGCGATGAGGAGTGGGTGCCGTTTTGTCAGGAGGTGGTGGATTTGTGGGCGGGGTATAGGGGGAGGATGAGGGTTGGCGGGGAAGAGGAGGATTTGAATGTGAGGCCTCATTGGGCGAAGGAGTGGGAGGGGGTGAGGATTAGAGGGAGGGGTGCCAGGGAGTATTTGAGAGAGGTGGGGTATAAGGAGGAAGTGGGGGAGTTTAGGAGTGTACTGGGGGAGATTGGGAAGGAGCAGGGGTGGGGATTGGGAGATTTGAAAGGGAGGTTTAGTAATGAGTTGTGGGATTATTTGGTTTTTGATGGGGTGGAGGTGGCGAGGAGGATGGGAGAGGGGGAGGGGGAGAAGGGGGTGCAGAGTGTTAAGGTGGTGGAGGGAATACATACGGTGGTTGATGGGAAAGAGATGAAACCCCGCGGGATTGAAGAGGCGAAAATGAATAGTTCGGGGGAATTAATAGATTACTCGACGATTGAGAAGAATTGGGATGGAAAGGGGAAGGGAAAGGAACAGGAACGGGGACAGGGGATTAAAGATGGCGAGGTAAAAATTGTCGAGGCGAAAGGGATTGTGAATGAGGTGAAGGAGATAAAGGAGATAAAGGAAGTGAAGGAGGCGAAGAGTTCTAGCAGTAGCAGTAGTGCTGTACCCGAGAAGGTGATTGGGATCCCGGGTATTGATCATGCACGTGGGGTTTTTCCTATTAAGTTTGGTCGATAGATATATATACATTTTTTTCATCTTCTTGGGGAATGAGGTTGGATAATTTCTATACTTTGGGGTTTGGGTGGAAGGGCAGGAATTGGAAGGGAACGGGAACGAGGTGTTTAGTAGTTATTTGATCTTTTTTACTTTTTGTAATCTGATGGATATTGTATTTGTGTGAACAAGGGTATTCACTTCAAAGGAATGACTTCAATACAATGGCTACTGTATCAAAGAGATTTAGGCGAATGCGAAAGAGACTAGCTCTTTCAGTAGTGCCTATATAAGGCCTACTATTTTCCCACATAGCTAGCTCTTTAGATAGAATACAATTAGACATTTAGGGGCCTACTGATAGTGGGAACCACGTCTTCCGTATCTTTCTCGAACCAACATAAAGAAATAAGAGAAAAATAAAGAATAACGAAAATGAAATAATTCTTATTTAATTCGAAAAAAGAAAAAAAACTTTATTATTTTTATTTATCATTATAAAAGCAAGTCTTTCTATTACTATTACAAAAACAAATCTTTCTACCCAATAAACTAGTTAAA